GTGCTGGTCAGCAGGCATCGAGCATGTGGGCTTCTTGGCCTCCCTCAGCTGGCTGAGGCAACACAACATGCTTATGGCGTTGAGCTGGCGGAACCATACGATATGAGGTGCTGTTGGCCTCCCCGGCGGGTGAAGTGCACTGTACACACAGGCAATGGGATGAGGCTCATAGGACAGCATTGAAGGACAGTGAAATAGATCCCTGGGGACATCAACGGCTACGGGACCATCTGGAAGGGATTTGGAATGTCGATCGGGGAGTGAGGAGACGGACTACACAGAAGAAGAAGAAGGCTACTCACCGGCCTGCTATGGTACAGAGGCGGACTAACCCGGTCCGTACTGTTGAGGCGGAGGTAGGCTGGCCGGTACTTAGCTGGAGTAGAGTCGTGGTCCAGCGGCCACTGATTGCCGGGCCACCGAAGGCAGTATTGCCGCCCTCACGCCCTTCCCCTAGTGATGGTCGAGGTCTTCATCCTCCTCACCACTCTATGCCTCCTCCTGTGGTCAGAGGTGTTGATAGGCAGGTGCTGGCTGGGTGAGTGGGCGTCAGCTAGGGGCTAGCCATGGTCCCATCAGTGCTGCTCCCTGGCGGTTGCCGATGCCTCGAATAGAGTTTGGGGCCCACCGTCTCAGCTTATCTACAGGGATGGTCATGGTACCTCCTCGAACGGCCGCACCCCCACCGGTGGTCGGTCAGACTAACAAGAGTGTAGCCTCCTCCACCGTTGGAGCTCGCTTTAGGTATGGTCCGGAGTACGTCGTGTAGAGGCTACCCTGAGTGTCAGGTCCGTCTCTCTGGAAGCTCCACTGCTACACTCACATCAATGGCCGACTCCGCTTGGTGGTGGCCATGCCCTGGGAGCTCCCTTTAACCGACCGCCGGTTTGGAGGACGACACTACTGGGTGGGAACACAACTGGTACCTTTAGTACAGTTGCTCCACTGGGGTTCTCCTCAATGCGTTGAATGTGGATCGCTCGAAGTTGGCTGATTCCATGTGTACTCTGCTACGTTTCCCCCCAGATGTGGCCACTCCTGGTCAAAAGAAATTGCGTTCTGGGCTGTAGACTGACTTGCTTTATGGCAGTTGACTTATGACGGCAGTAGCGAAGAACGCCCCACAGCTACGCATTCAGCCGGCCTGGCTTCAACATGATAGACAGGTTATTGACATGTCCTTGGCCCACCACTCGTGGAGGCTACTTCATCAGGTCCTGCGATATTACGCCTACTTCCAAGAGCCTGTGGTGGAATCCCCTGTGGAGAACTTCAGGGTCAGGAAGTGAGTGTCTGACTTTACATGGGACTAGAGTATAGTGTTATTATCATCAGATGTACGATACTGTACTACCTCGAGGACGGCTCCCTGCATATACTCGAACCTAGGGTCCTCAACAGTGGCCTCCAGCAGGTGGGCGTGGGGCGGGCTTGGTTGTGGTGGGACTGGGGTTGTCCTAGGGGGCCTACTTGAAGCGCCATAGAGTGCCCAACGGTGAAGGGGAGTATTTTGGGCCGGAGAACCTACGTTGTGGTATCACCATCAGCGTCTACGGGCGGAAGTTCATGATTACTTCTTGTGATAAGTTCACGAGGGACTTCTACACTGAACACGGACTGGACCTAGGTGGGCCGCTGCTGGCTAGAATGCGTGGATTGACATT